TGTGAGCGCTTGCCAGAGAGAGACAGAGGGGGAAAGTGAGAAAACATTCCCCTGGGGGACATGATATACTACAATCCTCTCTCCTCCATTCTTCTCCCACAGTCATGGGCATACACACATGCACATCTGGCATGATTTTCAAGCCATCAGGTCCAGGACTTGACCTGCACTCATCCATATGGGAGTCCAATGCCTTAACCACCACGCTCCCTGCTGGCCCTGGTCCTGACTTTTTTCACTAAGCGTAATTCTTTCCTTTTTTCAAGTTCACTTTCTATTCTGTGAGACAGATAGACAAACAACAACCTGACAGGATCCCAACACTTCAGCCCAAACCAACCTAGGTCATAGGCATGCCTGGATGTAGGATACTCAGGGGGTCTCTAGACTCCAGACATAAACTAGCAAACTTCCCATGCTGGTCTTTCTCACAGAGCATAGTGTCTGACTGCCCCCCTAAACTTAATGCTTCTTTGATTTATTCACATCATTGGAAGTTATCAGTATAGCATTCCTTTTTCATCGCTAAGTAATATTCCATTGTATGGATAGTTCACAATTTATTTTGTTCATTCAACTGGAAACACTCATTTTAAAATGGAAATTTAATATCCTGAATCCTCCTGAAAATCTAACAATAAGAAGAAAAGAAGGGGAGACCAAAAAGGAGAAAACCCCTTCAGACTCATTCCCACCACTGGACTTACTCTTGGATTAGCCCAGAATGCTCCCCAAATCTTGGCCCCATTAACCTCACTCACAGCTCCACATTCAGGTTATTTCCTCAAATGTCCTCCAAGATTCTCCCAGTATTCCTTCCTCCCTGTGCTGCCCCTCAAGTCACCTTCTATCACATCACTGTTTGCTGTGCTCTGCAGTACGGCTGTTCTCCAGATTTATTAGATTTATTTGTTTATTTTTGTCTATCCTTTATTTTTTAGAGTTTTTTCATTGCTTTCCTTCATGAGAAGAGACACAGAGAGAGAGAGTGAAAGACAGGCACCGCCAACAGGATCGCCACACCAGGACCCACCCGCCCCAGATCATGAGTACACATGGACCTGGCAGGTTCAGTAAGGCCTCTGAACACGCACCCAGAACCTTCCCCTGTGCGTGGGTCTCACAGAGGGTTGCATCACTGCTGTGCCACCATCTAGTCCTATCCCCTTCTTCAAAATGTTAGCTCCGTAAAAGCAAATATCTTGTATGTCTTCTTCACCGTCATAGCCTTCATGCCTGAAAGACCAACCAGCATACAGTAGATGCTCAATAAAAAATGGCTCCATGAAAACATAAGTGAGTGAATCAATGACTAACAAGGTGAGGGGACATTATACATGAAACTAAATTTTTTTTAAGTTGTATAAGCCTTTGGTTTTGAAAATTTTCAGAGCTTAATAGAGTAAAGATATTTAAAAGGCCACCTACTAGCACTGGGGCTACTCACATATCAATTCAGAGACCTGGATCAAACAGAGCAGCTGAGACATGGTAACCTATTTAATTCAATGAGGAGCAAGCTAGACTCGGCTATACCTCCGGCTGGCTCCATCCTCCTACAAATCATCCGAAATGCTAAATCATGTTTAAAACCCCCTGATTGTGACCTCCGGGAACTATGAAGAACACTAGCACATAATTTACATACTGCCAAGCTCCCGAGGCCTCTAAATAAAGCCCCCCAGGGCCCCCAGACACTATTTTTGAGGCGAAGGACATCAAGTGACAGATTAAATCGAGTCTGCTCCCCCAACACCAGGGAAAAAGGCACCTCACCTTCCACTTGCTGACATCTGAGAAAGTCTTAAACTACATTGGCTGTCAGGTGCTTCCCAGGGAGGCCATTCTTATGTCGTGCGCTTTTGTCTCTCTCATTTTACACAACTCCATGGCCAACAGGTATTTTTGCTCAGCTTTGATTCCTTTTCCAGATTCTAACATCAAAAAGTGTTTTAACCTCAAAGCACCAAGAATGAATTCACAAGAGCACTTTGCATTCTGCCTGTAAGGTTGAATTACATTTGGTCACGACATGGCTATAATTCTTTTTTTTTAAAGGAAGAATTATCTTATTTCATTTATTTATTGCATTTTAATTTGACTAGAGAGTGACAGAGGGTGAGAAAGCAAGATGCCAGGTCCAAGACTCAAACCGTGGTCAGCCATGTGGGAGTCCAGCACCTTAACCATCATGCCACCTGCCGGCCCCAACATGACTATAACTCTAACACCAAGTTGGTCAATGAAAAAACCGTGAGAGGATCGGAATCCAACCCAACAGACACCACCAAGGGTAGGACGGGCCGATAGAAGGATATTGAATTTGGCTACAGAATGTTCTACTGTCGTGACCGTGATTAATTTTTATAATCTGACAAGAGGGGAAGCAGAAAAGTGAGGCCTAAGACACTGTGAGCTGTTTATACCTTCCAGGGGCCCAAAGAAAAACGGCACCTGTTTTACTGTTTTGTTTTCTGCACAACTCAGGAGAGACTACACAATAAACATTTCAAAAACATGTGAGCCAAATAAAACAGCTAAGTGAATACTAGCGAATACTTGAGCAGCAAGCCACTTGGATATCCATTCGTCTTCGTGAACCTTCCGGAAGCATGAAGACGGTCTATCCCTGGCCCAAATAATCCACATGCATAACTGGGTTTTGAGTTATGTACAACTTACCCTGGCTTCTAATGTCTTTTGTAGTTGCAACTGCCTATTAGACTGTTAGAAATTCCCTAAGATCAGACACTGCTTTTACTCTTGCTCCTACGCTGTTCCCTTCACCCCTAACTCTGAGGCACACACCAACATACTCCCAGGAAATAACCTGTTTGATTCCTTGCCAATATGCACGGAAACACAACAGCATTTGTTTCATAGGTGATCCTCAATGCCTCGCACGTTACTCCGGAAAGTGAATGCATAAATGAACGAACGGAGCCTTGAGTAGAGAATACTTCAATCATATTATCTCATTTGAGCCTCACAACTCTGTAAAGTAATAACAATAATAGGTAACGCTTTTATTGTGCTAATTATATGCCAGCCACTACTATAAATCCTCCATATTTATTAAGCCTTTTAACTCTCCCGAACTCTGTGAAATAAGTGCTATTATTCTATCCATTTAACAGACGGAGAAACTGGTGGAGGCACACGGAGGTCACACAGCCAAAAGCATTCCTTGTGAGATGCTCCTGAGCAGCAAGATTCATTTCAACAAGTCTCCCCGCTGCATGGACGCAAATCTAGGGTTGTGTTCCCTGGACACTGTGAGATGCCAGAGCCAGTACGTGAACACAAATAGCCTGGCGCAGAGTCCACACTCTCAACATCCAAGTAGCACATGTGGAAGAAAGCTGACCCACTGCAAATATTTGGGAGCAGCAGAGGAGAGATTGTCCAGGGGGCTGGGATGCTAAGCACTGGTTTGCTCAGTCCTGTTCTCTCAAACTGAAGTTGTGTGTGTGTGTTTGGGGGGGTATAGAGAAAAAAAAAAAGAAAACAAAGAAAACAAACCAAAAACCTGGAAAATGTGGGTTCTACCCTAACTCTCTGGAAAATAGTTTGCTTTCATTAGAGAAAGAGCATTTGCTGGCATTGCTCTGGGTTTAGTCCCTGAGCATCCATTACAGCCTCAGGAAAAGGCCACACAATTCTTAGCCAAAGTGACACACGGGAGAGCCTGATCAAAGTTCTCTGAAAGTCTTTGCGGGAACTGGATTTTTCTACAAATATGTCAAAGAGTCTGAGGGAAGTAGGGAAACCCAAGACAAAAGAATAAAGGCCAAGAGAGAATGAGAGTGTGTAACTAGGAAGGGAAAGAAAGAATGGGAACTAGCCCCTAACTTGAATGCATGGGTTTTGGTAAATTTATGGCTTGAGAGAGAAATGCTTCTCTTCTGAGATGGCACAAGAATGGCAGGGAAACACAGGTTTGGAAGCAGGCTGGGTTCGTTTCTTAAATGTAAAACTTCAGGTCCAGTTGGATGTTATGCTGTAGAGAACAGTGTTGTGATTACGGTGTCTGGAGAGAGAAGGATAAAAATTGAGAGAAAGAAATGATAGTGCAATCATTAGCAAAACGTTGTCAAGCTGGGAAAGGGAAAAGGTGAGAAAGAGAAGAGGTAGGTGAGCTATTCTGGGCTCCTAGTGCCTCTTCTGTCCTCTTTCTTACTCACCACATCTATGGGGCTGAGAAAGGAGGGATTTGGGTATGCACTGAAAAGGTTGCATGGGATTGGTGGATCAAAGTTCGTTTGTCTGGGGACAAGGTAAAGCTCCCACTCCGATTCAAACTGTGATCCCAAGGAACTTCTTTCCTCTTCAAGGGGGGAAAAAAGACCTTTGCTCAAAGGCCAGTTGAGAGACACCCATTGAACTATTCCCTACAAAAGTCATCCCTCAGCTGAAACTTGTAGGATTTGGAAATGACTGAAAACGACAGGTAGGCCTTGAAGACCTGCAAGTGCCAGTACCCCAGAACAGTCCTGACGCCAGATCTTGCCCTTTCCTTTTTATCCAACAGAAACCAAAAGGTGCTTTCCTCCACAGAAACTGATGGGGAGAAGCCATCCACATGACGAGATTTCACTGCAAGTAACATGTTTATTAAAACCAAAGTGCACATCTCGGAGAATTTTTTATCTGTTCTTAAAAAAAATAGAATTTTCACACACAAAAAAAAAACAGTGACAAAGTATAATTAATTAAAAAAAAAAACACTTGGAAGAGATTTGCTAGGTAAGTTCATCTGGGATCTCTAAGGAGGTCGTTGGAGAGGCTCTCTTTTATGAATGAAAATGAGTTTCCTGGCAGGACCCCAGTCACCTCCAAATACACGTAGCTGAATACAGGACTTCACAGATCTCACACCAGTTCACAGCAGAAGACTGAGGAACGCACCGCGATTCATGGTACCTTAAGAGGCTTCTTCTAGAGCTGGCAGATGGGAATCTGCGCCCTGCTGCACTCTCCGAACATCCTACTCTAGGTCCCAAGAATTATCTGTACTCTATTGCAGGGCGATGCTGCTGCTTCTTATTTTTTTTTCTTTTTTCTTTTATCACGCTCCGAAAACCGCAAAGGGATTTAACCAAAAGGAAGCAAAGGCTTTCTTTTTATAAATTCGATTAGTCATTTTCACTTTCTCTACCTGGGGACATTTCCTTTGGGAGGAATTTCATACCCAGAGACCCCTTAGTGAGGCACTGTTGCAGGCGGGCGCAGTGAATTTAAGTGCGAAACGCTCAGTGTGGACGGAAAGTAAAAAATCACAGGCACTTGCAGCGAAGTCAGTTTCTAAAAGCCGGTGTGGGAGTGGTCTGCAAGAAAGACGAAGTTTGCCGCGGGCAGGCGTATGGGATCCTAGGCTGGGGGGGGTGCCGGCTCTTAGCAAGCCCGCCCTCCGATCGCCACCGCCGAATTTCCCGCCGGAGTAGGCGCCGGGGCGACTGGTCCCTGCGCTGCACCCGGCGCCGGTCTGGAGATAGCCCTGGGCGGTGAGCGGCAGGAGACCCCCAAAATGCGTCTTGTCTACACCGCGACTTAGCCGCTGCGGGAGCAAGAGCGCCGAGGACGCACAGCGTAAACGCGGCCAGAGGGGACACCGGCCCGAGCCTGCTCCCTTAGGCCTCGGGTTCGAAGCCGTGCCAATGTCCAAGGAGAGTTTAGGATTTGAGCAGTTCGGTAAGGAAAGGAGTTTCTGATATTCCCGGCAAAGTGAAGTCCGGGGGTTTGGAAAAAACCGAACCTATGGTGGACTTTCCAAACTTGGTCTTTCCTTTCTATCATTTTTCCCCTGCCTCTCTCCTCCCAGTATTCTAGTCCCAGCCCT